AGACACCCTCCCTCTCACCCCCTCCCCCAGTTATGCCCACTATTTGCAGGAAGGACCTAGACACTCAAAGCCAATACAGTCTTCTTTCTGTCTCTCCCTCAGCTCTCCTCTGCCTTTTCTCCGCCAGTTTGAAGTGTGTCTCAGAGCTTTTGGTTGAAACATTTTGCTTGAAGTGCAGTTTTGAGATTTTGTAGGAGCAAATGGTTAGTGGAGATGGGAAGAGTATGTAGTGTTTTGGCTTGGAGTAAGCAATGAGAGGGGAAAAAATAATCTTATTTAGGTTTTTGCAAGGACTGTAGTCCTCTTAGTTCCCTTTTGTTTTCCTGACTAAACAGATTTGAGTTGTAAAAATGCAATCTTTATATTTGGACTCAATCTGTTCTCTTGTAATTTGCCTCAGAATAAGAATTAAAATAAAACTGCAGATATTAATGGAGACTATTTAAATGTTGCCAGATGAAAATGGAGTGTTTTGGCTGACTGCTTCAAGCTACATGCGATTTAAACTTTGAAAACAGTGTCATAGGTAATTACTACCATTGCTCAGCACGTGTTGTAGTTGCTAACAAAGGGCTGCACCCAACAAAGTTCACTAACCCCCCTTACTGTACAAAACCAAAAACAATATTATTATCCTTTTAGTTTATTAAACACAATATTTTAATCATATTTTATTCCTTTTGTTTTCCTTATTTAGTAGTTTTAGATGTGATGATATTTACTCAGTTAGTGTGTAGGTTTGAACAAAAGCCGAGTCGTCACTTGAGCTCTAAAGCCATCAGCCAGTTTGCCCAGTAAACTAGTGTATACAAACACCGCTTCCTGACTACAATCCCATGCTTTCTAGCATGCTAGAGCCAAACTGCAGTTATGTAGAAATACAATCAACGGTGGATATTGTGTACGTAAGTCCATCTATGAGACGTCCAGTCTCCGTTTACAACTCCACCCCGACTTCCTGTAGTTGCTGAACGGTCAGAAAAGGAGAAAGACAGTTTTGTTACACATTCAGCAACATTTCTTTTTGTCTAAACAACAGGCAAAGCACTGAAGACCACAATGACTTGCTTAAATAAGATCTGTACCTCTCCCCAGTGCAATGCGTGGTAAACCTTATTTGGATTTTTTTGATTGAGGAATGCCAAAATTTATTGGAAAAATGTAAGTTTTCATCCCTATATTTGGTTTACAGTTTTGAGAATTCATTTCAGAATTACTAATGTGACAGTGCAAGTGTCTCTTAGGCAAGTACTGTGCACAAGGCAATTAAAGATGGCTCGAGTATTAATATCAGCACAAATGCTTTCCTGGTAGTTTTAGCAATCTACCCGGTGTTGCTCCCTGCTACATTTTGGATTTATCAGAAGTGTCAAGCACAAATATTTTATTTACTAACAAGCGAAATAGTTGCTGCCTGAAATAATTCAGTTTCCAAAGGAATGCTACATGCAGACCCACCCCAGTGATTCTTAGTAGCAGTTTAGGCTTTTAGTACCAGTAACGATAATAGGCAGCACACAAGTGTCTACTGTCCTGTTGTTTAAGATTGGAACGTCACTTTTCTCTGACTTTTGCTGCTAAAGTTGAATATTCCTATTTAAGCAAAGCAGTCCTCTAACATTAGCCCCTCCCCTCTTGGCACCAAAAGAGGCACCACACTCAGCATTAAACTACAGCATCTGTTCGAATGAAGTGGGCACAGACTGAAAGATGAAATCCCAGAATGGCTTGACCTCTATTGCTAATTTAAGGGAAACTAGTAAAGCATGACACACTGTGCTATTGTGCCTTTTATCACTGTTGCACATATTCATATAAAGCATATTCTCACTTTTAGTCTTATTTTAGAATGTGTACTTGAGTTTTGTTTTTTCTCACGTGTACCCTCCCCTTTGCCTATTGCCCGACGGTGTCTCCAGCTCGCCCGACACACCAGGAATATTCTACCTGTCCCCCCGTCATCCGTTGGTCTAAAATGGCACCAACTGTTATCTCCTTTCTCCAGCAGGGAGTGGTATTCCTCTTTCTCCTAATCACCTCATTCCTGTAGAGAGAGACAAAGGCTAAACCTCAACACTGTTCATTTTCTGTTATATGAATATTTGTTTGTCTTTTAGAAATGTTTTTTGTATTTCTTGTTTGTTTGTTTTTTTCTTTTCTTGGTTTGAGAATTGGAACTTACACGTCACAGACCTAAAAATATACTACTTAACTACTCCCTTAATGGAGTTTTTTTGATCTCAGGTTCCACTGGTAAAGCATCCCAAAAGGCTCTTCAGATGAGGCCGAGGATTCATGTAACAAAATGAGTAAAATGTACTGAAAAGCTTGTCTGCTCTGGTGTCTCGTTCTTCTGGTTTTTACAATCACACAAAACGCACTGATCTCATACATCCATGTAACTTCTCAGTTACTGACTACATTGAAACCAATTATGTTTTTCAATACCAAACACTCATTTTCACCCCAGTTTACCAACTAACAGACATAAGCGAACAATAGGTTTACAGTGCGGCTTCTACAATAGACATCCTGTGCAAACTACATCAGTCATGAAGCAATTTTAAGGCCAATGTCACCAACAGGGGGAGGCAGGTTGTAGGAGGAACACGGTAACATGACAACACTAGTGTGTTTCTTTTGGGAAGTGAAATATGTGAGGACTTCAATAGTCAAGTTTTTGTTTCAGATAGGAACCGATTCCACTTTGTGGTCATTTTCAAGGCTATAGTTTAAGTTGGTGTTAAATTGTACTGTTATACTGGGAATTATTTGCTATTTAGCCCATTCTTACTAATGGAGAGATAGTGGACAGAATATTACAAACACTAATCTGAAACTCTTTCAGCATCAATTGATCATTAAGTACTTTTTCAAATAGGAAGGACACATTCTGGAGCAGTTTTACTACACTATAAGGTTTCCAAAATGTACCTAATAAAAAGGCAGCCGATTGTGCTTGTGTGTATTTGCACAAAACTACTACAGATTGTGTTGCTTTTTAAGTCTACCTTGCTTTATAGTACATATTTCTACTAGTTTTTACATATTTGACCACTGAACTCAAATTAATTTTTTTTTTTTTAAAGAAAATGTGTCTATATAAGTGCTTTAGCTGTGACTTGACTAATGAACTCGGATGCTAGAAAGCTGCTGCTGGTTCCTTACTCATCCCATTTTCACACCAGCAGCATTTGATCAGTTGTAGAAGGAATCATAGTACAAGTTGAAGTTAACAAGAATTCTAGCCACCAAAATGCAATGCTAAGTCTTTAGTTACCCTTCACTTTTTAATTAACTTGGTTGGGTGATTATTTCTTTGTTGTAACCTTGCTTCTGGGCAATAAATCTTGCACCGTTCAAAAGCCTGTTTATTTCCCCTTAAATGGTCCCACATTTGTGGAGATGCATTTGCGGGTTGTGCACATGAAAAACTTGCCAAATCATCTCTGCCAATGCCAAACAGCTTATTCTGCTGTTGACTCTTGTTTGGTGTCGTTTATTGGACTGGATCACTGAAGTCTGAAGAAATAACACCAAAAAAAGAGTGAATAGCAGAATAAGCTGTTTGGCATTGGCAGAGATGATTTGGCATCAACAAAAAAATTTAGCAAGAATTTCATGGGCTCAGCCCACATACTCAACTTTGCTTCTCAGCCCAATTGTATCCCCTTAATGCCCTTAACTTACTTTTTTATGTGTAGTTTATTTTGCTTTCAAGGAGGCAGACTTTGTTATTTTTGGTGCAAAAGTTGCTCAGGCTCTCTGAAGGTCTTTTGGACCTTTTTCAGAGGAACTTTTTTGTTTGTTTGTTTTGTTAAGCCACTTAATACTGACTTATTATTAAATAGACATAAAACAGGCAACATAGGTACTTTGTTGCCAGCGGCCCGTCACAAATACACATAATTATTTCACATCTCTTTGGTTGAATATATGAAAGAAGCTCAGAGAACTCTTCTTGAAGACTACTTAAAGAAATGACAAGAAAATTTGACAGAGATATAAATGGCATTTCCATGTATGCTTGCACCTTTCAGTTCATTGCTGCACCTATTTCCCATTTTCCTAGCAAAGGTTAAAGAAATGAGGGGTGGTTTGATACTTTTACACAGTATGTTTACTGGGGAATGAACATCAAAGACAATACAAGTTAAATGGTGTTGCACAGAGTGCTGAATTTTTATATGTTTCCCTCATTTTCACATGTATTTAGAATCCATGTGAAAATGAGGGAAATGTATCAAATTTCTACATTTGCTACATTTCTACATTTCCTGATCTGAAAGAACAGGTTCTGATGTTCTGTAACAGTGACCTAGCTGTGTGCTTGTTATGGTTTTATTGAGGCTGAATGCTTCAAATGATTAATTTCAGTACTATATTCATACCGAGTTGAACATACCAAAAAAAAAGAACTTTTTATGCAAATTCATATCATATATATCATCTGATCACTGAACCCTGAAACTAGGTACATTTATATAATCTATAATCAAGATTATAATCTGGACTTTGACTTTGCTAGGAATTTTTGATGACTTCAGTCAGTCCTCCTGTGCCAGCTGTAACCTCTTGATGGTATTTAGTAGGAGATAAACTCTTACTCTAAAGCTACAGGACTCTGAACATTTACCCTCATGCCTTTTACTTATCACTTGGAAATACAAGAAGAGCAACATAACTGAAGTGCACTTCAGGGTTTGCCATGTGCATCTGTAAGCAGTGGTGGTTTTGAGCACTTTGGTTACCTCTCATACTCGAACTTGTGGTGATTCTTTTCATGTGTGTTACAGCTTTTTGGAAATGTGACAGTTTAACATCAAAATGTCTTCCAAGACAGAAAAGGCTAATCAAGACATTGCCTCTAGCAATGTTTGTACCAACACTCTGAAACCTCAACCTGTCAACAGCCTGATGAACACACACACCTCTTTCTTTATTTTGGGAGGAGTCTGCAAGGCGGTTTACATCCATTGAGCTTCATACATATGCTTAGTTCGCGAGTGGAAACGGTCACAGCAGTTTTTACCGGCTGAGGCGAACACTTGCTAGGATGCACTGCCATCAGGACTTGGTGAGCTTTCTCAGCTGTGGACTTATTCTGGTAGGAGTTTGTCACCTGGTTTATCACAGGAAGTCACAGAGCTCCTATGGACGCTACATGGCATGCCCTCCTGCTAGAACGGTTCCTGCTAGACTAGCCTGGTTCCTTCAGGAGATGCCGGCTTTCATCATCCCTCTACTTTTAATGCTCACCACGCACAAATCCACAATTATGGGGAAGTACCTGCTGCTAGCGACCTTTTGCGTGCACTACTTTCAAAGGTAAAAGCAGAAAAACAAGTCAGCTTTGTGCCACTTGATATGCATGTGAAGGGAACAGGGAACATGTATTCACGACAGTAAACAATGTGTGTATTCCTATTTAATCTTTCCAACGTAAGAGATCGACTTTGATGTTATTTAAAAAAAGGAAAGTTAAAATCCCTCTTCTCTAACAGTTTGTCTTTTCAGTTTTACATAAAACAACAAAGACGTGGCGTAATCATCTTTTAGCTGCTGGATGTACATTACGTATTGAGACATTTAGTGAAAGCAAGACACAAAATTTCAGATGGGGACCTAAAAAGCAAAAGAAAAAAACAAAAGGAGGTTTGAAAAGGATTTTTCCTGCTGCTATAATTCAAAACAACACTCTGAGGAATGCTTTCCTAACCTCCCATGACGAGTGGAGCTTAGTGGCACCATTTTAGTTTTCACCTTAATGCCAAATCATTTATACAGTGTGCTTCCAGTGGTTTGTAAAAACACAGCTTTTTCTGCATGTACCAGCATGGAAAAAATGCACAATTATCCCCGTCTTTCACCACCCCTGCTGCATCTACCATTTTGTTCTCCAATCATAGAACATTTGTGTACTCGCTATTGATGAGAGGAAAGCCTTTCCCGCTGAGTGTGATGGTGACAGCGGGTTTGTTCTGCGCTCTAAATGGTTTCCTGCAAGGACACTACCTGCTGCATTGTGCCCAGTTTGATGATGAGTGGTTTACGGGTTATTGCTTTAAAATTGGTAAGTGGAATATTTACTCTTTGGATGTGAAAGTCAGAATCTAATTGTATTTTTTTATAGGTTTCATATACTGAGAATTCTTTTTTTGTTGTTGTTTTCAGGTTTACTGCTGTTTTACATCGGCATGGCCATTAATATTCACAGCGACTTTATTCTACGCAACTTGAGGAAACCAAAGGAAGTAATATACAAGATTCCTACTGGTAAGAGACAGATTACAAGTGAGCAAACTCCCACTGTGCTTGTATTAACCTGCAGTCTACTTAATCTCCTGCAGGAGGTCTGTTTGAATATGTGTCTGGTGCCAACTACTTAGGGGAGATTGTGGAGTGGTTTGGGTACGCTGTAGCCACCTGGTCTTTTCCAGCACTCTCATTCGCTCTGTTCACCCTCTGCTTCATTGGACCAAGAGCCTACTACCATCACAGGTGCCTAAGATATTGATGTGAAGGAGTCCTGACACAAATACTAACCCCTCAACTAAGGATTTTACCCACATGCTGTTTCTAAACCGTTGTTGTTTCTTCTGTTGCAGGTTTTATCTTGAGAAGTTCAAAGACTATCCCAAGTTTCGAAAGGCTTTAGTTCCTTTTATCTTCTGAGGGAAAACGTTCATGTATTGCAAAAAACTGTTTACCGTGGTCTATAATATGTTATACAACATTGTTATTAGTGAGGCCTTAACGTGGAATAGTCTAGTTAGCTTGGTTTAGTTAGTATTTGTATTTAAGAAGGTACCGAGGTGAAGTGTATCAATAGTATTTGCAGCTTGTGAAATTTATGCATGATGTATTAATAAATGTATTTGTCTTGTTTCTTACTGATACTCATACAACCGAGTTTCCAAAAGTCAGGAATGCTGTTTGAAATTAAATCAAATGTAAGAATCCACTGATTACCAATTTTACCAATCTTGCTTCAAAACTGCTGGTGCCATAATTTTTGGGACAATGTCACAGCTTTTGTAATTTTGTCTCCGTAGACCATCACAGTGGGATTAAAACTAAACAAAAAGATGTTAGTTTCAACTCAAATGGTGTAACAGCAATAGGACCATAGCCCACCATTTTCAGTTGTTGTGAAAGTAATTGGAAACTTAACTGACAGCCAGTTTCAGTAGGTCAGGTGAGACCAGTTCTGTGACAAATGAGATAGATAAGAGATTTGGAGTCGATCCAGTTGTTGAACTCGACACTGGAACTTAACATGAGGTCTAAAGACATGTTGATGCAAGTGAGGCCCTCATGAGGCTGAAAAAAGGAAAGTATAAATTAAAAACAAACCTCTCTGTTTAAGAATGTACCAGCAAAATGAAACGCCCACAGAAGGCAATTACAGTATGTGATGACAAATTCCTTCTTTGATTAAGAAAAACAACTTCTCCACCAGTGGAAATGTGCCACTAGTATTTAATGATGATGTAACTGCTGACAGAAGTAGCAGGATGAATTGTGAAGCGTACAGGCCAATACTCTCTGCTCCAACTCAGCCAGATGTTGCAAAACTGATAAGAGACCCTTTCACAGTGCAAATGGAAAATAACCCAAAGGCTACTGCCAAAGAAAGACAAGAGTTTCTCAAGGCAAAGACATGGAATATTCTTCAATGGGCAAGTCAGTGACTTGATCTCAACCCAACAAAGCGTGCTTTTCAGTTACTAAAGACAAGACTGAAGGCAGAAAGTCCCACAAACATGCAGGAACTGGCTGCACTGAAGGCCTGGCAGACTATTGATGTTACCTAATACCGTTTGTGAGCCACGGTTCAAATTCAAAGACTATCCCAACTTTCGAAAGGCTTTGTCCATAGGCTCTAGACTTCAAGCAGCCAGTGACTACACTGGCTACAAAGAATATTCATCCAAGTTTTAAAAACAATCTTTATAATTAAAATTTTATATAAGTATATATAACCTGCACCTAATATGCACATCTGTCACATTTGATTTAAAATCTACTTCGTTGGTTTAGAGAGGAAGCAGTACAAAAACTAATGGACCTAACTACAAGGCTCCAAAAAACCCCCCCAAACTTTAAAGTTACACTTTTTAAAATCAGAATACAGCATCAAGTCAGTGAATCTTCTGGGATATTGAGCTGGTCAGTTCAGTAGCAGAGGGGGTTGTTAATCAGTTTCTTCATCAGTTTCCTCTTTGATGTTAATGATATTAACAACAGGTGCACTAGATGGGCAACAATGAGACGAGCCCCAAAACAGGAATGGTTTTACACGTGGAGGACACTGACATTTTCGCCTCCTCATCTTTTCTGTTTTGCATTTGGCTTAGAGTCAGAGTCACTACTGGTAGCACGAGGAAATACCTGATACCAGAAGGTTTGCTGGGTCTCCCATCACGGTCTCAAGAGCACGGAGGAGATTCCAGGGGACAGGCTCTGGGAGAGCTGTACAGCTGTGCATGTAAAAGGTCCTTAACACATCAGCAGGACCGGTATCTGCTCCTTTGTGCAAGGAGGAACAGGATGAGCACTGTCAGAGCTACAAAATGACCTCCAGCAGGACACTCATGAGGGTGGTCTAAGGGCCTGACGTCCTCTAGTGGGCCCTGTGCTCACTGCCTGGCACCGTGGAGCAGATTAGCATTTGCCATAGAAAACCAGAATTGACAGGTCCACCACTAGTGACCTGTGCTTTTTACAGATGAGAACAGGTTCACCCTGAGCACATATGACAGATGTGAAAGGGTCTGGAGAAGCCGTGGAGAATGTAATGCTGCCCTTTACATGTGGGTGGGTGGGTGAGTGATGGTCTGGAGAGGCATATCCACTGAGGAGCACACAGACCTTTACAGGCTAGCCAACGACACCATGACTGCCATTGGGTACCAGAAGGAACCCCATGGACCCACTGTCAGACCCTATGCTGGTGCAGTGAGTCCTGGGTTCCTCCTGATGGATAACAATGCCCAGCCTCATGTGGTGAGAGTAAGGAGAGTGTCAGGGTACTGGGTCTCCTGACCCAGCGTGTTAATTCTTTGTGATTTTTTGTATTATTGTACTTGTGTGAGTTATTCTATGCTTTCTAGTTTTGATCCCTTGTCCTTCATGTTTCTCTGTGTCCCCTCTGTTCTGTGTAAGTCTGTGTCTGCATGTTTGAGTTTCCCTCTGTGGCTTTCGGTTCTTAGAGCCCTCTGCCTTATGGTTTACGTCTCCGTGTTTCTTAGTTGCTGTCTCCACCGTGTCAAGTTTGCGTCTCTGTGTCTAACTTCCTGTTTTACTTTGAAGGTCCGTGTCTTATGTGAATAGCTGTGTCCCAAAACGTCGGCTGCATCCTTCGGAGGGAGGAAGGATGCAGCCGGGTCCTTCGAAGACCAAGAAGGCCGGAAGTGCGAGGCTGTGAAATGGGACGGTCTAGCCTTCAGATTTGCGTCTCCGCTGTGTCGGTGGAGTTTAATAAACTCGGCCGTCTGCTCCTTGCTATCTGAAATATAACAGGACACTGGCGTCACAGTTTTCTGTTTGACGTTTATTCAGCTGTGTGAAAATCCCGGAGGAAACCACCTGATGGATTAATAAAGTTTTATTTAAGCTAATAATCTAATAACTTTGATCTCAGCCAAACCGATTTACTCCGGAACAAATAAAACACCAAAAAAGGGTAAAAAAATGACATTTTTAAGTTATCCAAGTGACTTATATATCATGTTTAACTTGAGTAGCGAAAGAACGGGGGTCTGAAAACGATGAAGCCGGGAGTCCGCTGCTCTCGCCGGCTGGAGTGACCATTGAATCTGTCCGCTATCGAGCGGGTGGGTAACAGACGTCTCCGAAAACGTCGGCACACTTTTGCAAATATGCGATGTCTTGATAAACCAAGCAGATATTTG